GCCAGCTATCTAAACTTGTAGTCATCATGTTTCGAATTACCGACCGGGGGTCCCCCATTGATTTTGTTAGTCACTCTCACTCACATATCATATTAAAAACTGCAAACATTGTTGCTTAGGGCAAAATATGACTGCATGTGTGTGTATGGATGTGGGTCCGCAGACCCGCGAGCCACTGCGGACCCTCATGATGAGTTTAGACCCGCGAGCCACTGCAGACCCTCATGATGAGTTCAGACCCGCGAGCCACTGCAGACCCTCATGATGAGTTTAGACCCGCGAGCCACTGCGGACCCTCATGATGAGTTCAGACCCGCGAGCCACTGCGGACCCTCATGATGAGTTTAGACCCGCGAGCCACTGCGGACCCTCATGATGAGTTCAGACCCGCGAGCCACTGCGGACCCTCATGATGAGTTCAGACCCGCGAGCCACTGCGGACCCTCATGATGAGTTCAGACCCGCGAGCCACTGCGGACCCTCATGATGAGTTTAGACCCGCGAGCCACTGCGGACCCTCATGATGAGTTTAGACCCGCGAGCCACTGCGGACCCTCATGATGAGTTCAGACCCGCGAGCCACTGCGGACCCTCATGATGAGTTTCAGACCCGCGAGCCACTGCGGACCCTCATGATGAGTTTCAGACCCGCGAGCCACTGCGGACCCTCATGATGAGTTCAGACCCGCGAGCCACTGCGGACCCTCATGATGAGTTTCAGACCCGCGAGCCACTGCGGACCCTCATGATGAGTTCAGACCCGCGAGCCACTGCGGACCCTCATGATGAGTTCAGACCCGCGAGCCACTGCGGACCCTCATGATGAGTTCAGACCCGCGAGCCACTGCGGACCCTCATGATGAGTTTAGACCCGCGAGCCACTGCGGACCCTCATGATGAGTTTAGACCCGCGAGCCACTGCAGACCCTCATGATGAGTTCAGACCCGCGAGCCACTGCAGACCCTCATGATGAGTTTAGACCCGCGAGCCACTGCGGACCCTCATGATGAGTTCAGACCCGCGAGCCACTGCGGACCCTCATGATGAGTTTAGACCCGCGAGCCACTGCGGACCCTCATGATGAGTTCAGACCCGCGAGCCACTGCGGACCCTCATGATGAGTTCAGACCCGCGAGCCACTGCGGACCCTCATGATGAGTTCAGATTGTTTGTGGCCACCACCCCCATCAAAGTTCCCCATCCCTGGTCTAGTGGTTGACGTATACTGAATGGAATGTTACATGTTGTTCTTTATGTGAAACCCTACATGGCCCTGTCACACTCAGGTTGTAGATGTGATTTACAACGCATTGGACATAATGGTTGTTCATGAGTTTGTACAGGGCCAATGTCTAGCGTATCCTACAGTAGAACCATTAAGGTCCAGAGGTTGTTTGTGTAGGTCATGTTCTATCAACAAAGGATATCATACGGATGATCATGTTGCTTCATGTAAAAGGTTCAGGGTCTTAGGAAGGCACTGCCTTGTAGAGATTGTTATGTTTTCTCTAACAATTGATTTTTTAAAATAAATTCACACATTATTTATGTCCCATTGTGGTTGCAGTCAAATCGTACTTATGGTAGTTTTCTGGTTGTGAAATCTCTGTGATACGGTGGCATCTGAGTCAAACTTCCTCTAGATGCAAAGTGTCTGTTGTTTGTGTGTTGGCAGAACTGGAGAAACTGAGTAGTCATTTCCAGCTGCTGTCAGCCCTGCCAGCAGCCACACGTTCATCTCTGCTCCAGCTCCTCAAGACAACCATGGAGGATGGAGAGGCAGTCAGTGTGCTGGAGAGTGTGGTGAGTGGGACGTACAGAAACAGGGCCCAAACACACACACACACACAGTCCTACAGTAGACAGACGCACTGTTTGTTTTCTATGAGCGGATTACTGGACATGAATCAGCAGAGCTTTCTGAAAATGCTTAACATACTAACTTCTCATTACATCCTGTCTGTCATCATCATAGTCCAGCATAGAATCCTAAATATCTTGTGTCTCTAACCTTCACTCTTTTGTTTACATTTACAGTTGAAGTCACTTAGGTTGGAGTCATTAAAACTCGTTTTTCAACCACTCCACAAATTTCTTGTTAACAAACTATAGTTTTGGCAAGTCAGTTAGGACATCTACTTTGTGCATTACACAAGTAATTTTTCCAACAATTGTTTACAGATAGATTATTTCATTTATAATTCACTGTATCACAATTCCAGTGGGTCAGAAGTTTACATGCACTAAGTTGACTGTGTCTTTAAACAGCTTGGAGAACCTGACTCAGTTACACCAGCTCTGTCAGGAGGAATGGGCCAAAATTCACCCAACTTATTGTGGGAAGCTTGTGAAAGGCTACCCAAAACGTTTGACCCAAGTTAAACAATTTAAAGGCAATGCTACTAAATACTAATTGAGTGTATGTAAACTTCTGACCCAATGGGAATGTGATGAAAGAAATAAAAGCTGAAATAAATCATTCTCTCTACTATTATTCTGACATTTCACATTCTTAAAATGAAGTGGTGATCCTTACTGACCTAAAACAGGGAATTTATACTAGGATTAAATGTCAGAAATTGTGAAAAACTGAGTTTAAATGTATTTGGCTAAGGTGTATGTAAACTTCCTACTTCAACTGTAGTAGAGAAATTAACATTAAATTCTAGTGGACATTTCTGCAGTCAGCATGCCAATTGCACGCTCCCTCAAAACTTGAGACATCTGTGGCATTGTGTTGTGGGACAAAACTGCACATTTTAAAGTGGCCTTTTATTGTCCCCAACACAAGGTGCACATGTTTAATGATCATGCTGTTTAATCAGCTGTCAGGTTGATTGGCAAAGGAGAAATGCTCATTAACAGGGATGTAAACAAATTTGTGCACAACATTTAAGAGAAATAAGCTTTTTGTGCATATTAAATATTTGGGGGATCTGTTATTTCAGCTCATGAAACATGGGACCAACGTTTTACATGTTGCGTTTATATTTTTGTTCAGTATAGATACAGTGCCTTCAGAACATATTCATACCCCTTGACTTATTCCACATTTTTTGTTACAGCCTGAATTTAAAATGGATTAAATATATATATTTTTTTTATATCTTGACACAATACCACATAGCAAAGTGATAACATGTTTTTAGACATTTTTGGCTAAAATCAGGCTTTAACAACAAAATGTGGAAAAGTCAAGGGGTGTGAATACTTCCTGAAGGCACTGTAACTACTGCCATTTAATGAACTAAGCCAAATAGTTGTTTCTATTGATTAACATGGGAGACATTTCTACCTTTGAAATATGCTGTCTTTGAAAAATAAACAAATGTTACACTTGTGAAACAAATAAAGTCAAAATGTTCTATGATGAAAGTATTACACAATAAAAAAATTAAAAAACACCAGTTAATTTATTTGACATCTGAAAATACAATGTTTTGCTCTGTTGAAATTGTAAAATCTATAACTTTTAAATAGATATGGCAATTAGTTAAAAACAGTTAAGTTTCAGTAATATCACATCAGAAAGGGATGGTTCTCTGAGATGCAGTACCATGTTAAGATGAGTATCCTGGAAATATTATTTCCCATTCCAACATAAAACAGAGCACCATACAGACTGGGCTAACAGTCAGACATTTACTGACAGAGTACTGACCCAACTAGTAGACCGTCCGCTGACAATAGAATGGAATTAAAAGGTAGACTCCGCAAGATGGTGTTGCAACGAACAGCACCGCAGATATTGAGATGAGCGAGATGCAAGACTACGCTCTCACAGAGTATCTACGCATGTGCACGGGTGCACTTCACACTGTTACACCGTGGTAGGTACGGGACCAAAACAGAGTAGTTTAGCCTCGCGCGTCAACGCTCCTAGTTGTTGCGGAAATTGATCAATTACGTGTTAACTTTGTGCACGCAACGTCATCTCGCTGAGTCTACCTTTAATGAAACAATTCACAATCTTGTAACACAGAAAAGCGACGTAACAAGGGAACGGAGTATTAGTCTACATTATTGTCTCATCCCAGAAACAGCAACAGAGACCTTTATATCTCAGATGTGGTGTGAAATTACGACTATTTCTCTGTCAGCCCTTAGTCTGCCTTAAAGAGAGAAAATGGCTGTTATTCTACACGGAGGGGTCAAAGGTGAAGTGAGACCAGGTGTGTGTCCCAAATGGCACCCTGTTCTCTATATGCACTACTTTTGACCAGGGCTGATAGGGCTCTGGTCAAAGTAGTGCACTATATAAGGAATAGCATACTATTTGGGACACAGTCCAGGAGATACTGTATGCAATGTAAACTGAGAAGAGGTCTAAACACACTGAGGTATCCTCATTGTCACAAAGCAAGCCCTCCTTGCCCTCCTTTCAGAATAAATACTCTTGTATTATTGGTCTAAGAGTTATGATAAATATAGTAGTTGTTGAGAGCAACCAACAGTGACAAAATAAAACATTCAATATTTTTTAAAACATCCTCAACTCCATGATTTAATTTCTCTTTCCAAATCCATATGAACAGAAAGGTAGTCAGTTAAAAGTTACAAAACGACGGTCAATAAATAAGTACACTTCTTGTGTATTGTGAACATTGGCTCCGTCCCAAATGGTACCCTACTCCCTATGTAGTGCTGGTCAAAAGTAGTGCACTACATAGGGAATAGGGTGCCATTTGGGACGTAACCAGAGTTGCATAGTGTACAGAGGTGCCTGTGGTGCAGAGCAGACTGAGCCTGGTGAGGCTAGGCTAAGCTCCACTGGAGCTGCATGGTAAAGTCCCATACAAACATAACTCTCAATGTGTCCTCAGCTCTCACATCCCTGTAGGGGTCAATTCCACTTCAATTCAGTCAATTGAGGAAGTTAACTGAAATTAGACTTTTCCTAAATGGGAAAAATGTGGAATTGTAGTTTCAGTCTACTTCCTGAATTAACTGAATTGAAATGGAATTGACCCCAACCGTGGTGGTTAGGGACAACCTCTTCCTAGTCTCCGTGTGCTCCTGGGCCCAGCAGCGTGCGGTGTGTCCTCCAGCCCAGTAGGGAGCAGCCTAACCAGGCAGGGCAGCAGGTGGGGACAGGACAGGAGTCTCTCAGTACACCCAGCTGACAGGGACCCACTGGGGCTCAGAACACAGCTGCCCCACGGCCACCTGCAGCTGCTCAAAGGCCTTGTCCAGGTTGTCGTTGACGATAGTCAGGTCAAAGTAGTGGCTGTAGGCCCGGCGGATCCTGGCGCTCTCATCCACGGTTTTCTTCAGATCTATCTCCTGAGAGAGAGAGGGAGAGAGGGAGAGAGAGAGGTTTCCATCAGTGATACAGAAAGGAATAGCTTTTCTTTTGAATAACTACAGCACTGAGAATTGTGCACAGGTCTACCAACATCCAGGAGAGGAGAGGGGAGACTGACCGTGAGCAGTTTGGTGGTGAGTCCAGCGTCCACCACAGCTTTGTGCATAGCTCTTAGTATGTCCAGTTCAGGAGCAGCGATAAACACCACAAATGGCATGAACTCTGCTGTCTTCAGCTGCTTCAGCGCCTGACGACACACAACCCATCAACAGACACACACACACACACACAACCCATCAAGTAATCACACAGACACTAACGTAACATGCTTATTCAAGTTTTGCTTAATGACCCAATGCAGCCGTTTTTATCTCAGTATCAAATCATTTCTGGGTAACAATTAAGTATCTTACTGTGATTATTTTCAATCAAAATACCAGAAATAGATTCTTAGCAAAAGCAATTTCTCAAGCAAGAATTTAGCTAGGACTGTCTGGGAGTGGTCTGATTGGGGAGGGGAAAACTGAAAACTAGCTGAGAGGTTTGGAACTCTTTCTTATTGGTCTATGAACTAATTGTCCATCCCACCAAAAGAGGCTGATATTTCAGGTGGTCTATTCAAACAGCTCTAACACTAAAAGGGCATGATCATCATTTTCACAATATTACATTATTATTCCAACCTCAGTGCAGATATACACTGCTCAAAAAAATAAAGGGAACACTTAAACAACACATCCTAGATCTGAATGAATGAAATAATCTTATTAAATACTTTTTTCTTTACATAGTTGAATGTGCTGACAACAAAATCACCCAAAAATTATCAATGGAAATCAAATTTATCAACCCATGGAGGTCTGGATTTGGAGTCACCCTCAAAATTAAAGTGGAAAACCACACGACAGGCTGATCCAACTTTGATGTAATGTCCTTAAAACAAGTCAAAATGAGGCTCAGTAGTATGTGTGGCCTCCACGTGCCTGTATGACCTCCCTACAACGCCTGGGCATGCTCCTGATGAAGTGGCGGATGGTCTCCTGAGGGATCTCCTCCCAGACCTGGACTAAAGCATCCGCCAACTCCTGGACAGTCTGTGGTGCAACGTGGCGTTGGTGAATGGAGCGAGACATGATGTCCCAGATGTGCTCAATTGGATTCAGGTCTGGGGAACGGGCGGGCCAGTCCATAGCATCAATGCCTTCCTCTTGCAGGAACTGCTGACACACTCCAGCCACATGAGGTCTAGCATTGTCTTGCATTAGGAGGAACCCAGGGCCAACCGCACCAGCATATGGTCTCACAAGGGGTCTGAGGATCTCATCTCGGTACCTAATGGCAGTCAGGCTACCTCTGGCGAGCACATGGAGGGCTGTGCGGCCCCCCAAAGAAATGCCACCCCACACCATGACTGACCCACCGCCAAACCGGTCATGCTGGAGGATGTTGCAGGCAGCAGAACGTTCTCCACGGCGTCTCCAGACTCTGTCACGTCTGTCACATGCTCAGTGTGAACCTGCTTTCATCTGTGAAGAGCACAGGGCGCCAGTGGCGAATTTGCCAATCTTGGTGTTCTCTGGCAAATGCCAAACGTCCTGCACGGTGTTGGGCTGTAAGCACAACCCCAACCTGTGGACGTCGGGCCCTCATACCACCATCATGGAGTCTGTTTCTGACCGTTTGAGCAGACACATGCACATTTGTGGCCCACTGGAGGTCATTTTGCAGGGCTCTGGCAGTGCTCCTCCTGCTCCTCCTTGCACAAAGGCGGAGGTAGCGGTCCTGCTGCTGGGTTGTTGCCCTCCTACGGCCTCCTCCACGTCTCCTGATGTACTGGCCTGTCTCCTGGTAGCGCCTCCATGCTCTGGACACTACGCTGACAGACACAGCAAACCTTCTTGCCATAGCTCGCATTGATGTGCCATCCTGGACGAGCTGCACTACCTGAGCCACTTGTGTGGGTTGTAGACTCCGTCTCATGCTACCACTAGAGTGAAAGCACCGCCAGCATTCAAAAGTGACCAAAACATCAGCCAGCAAGCATAGGAACTGAGAAGTGGTCTGTGGTCACCAACTGCAAAACCAGTCCTTTGTTGGGGGTGTCTTGCTAATTGCCTATAATTTCCACCTGTTGTCTATTCCATTTGCACAACAGCATGTGAAATGTATTGTCAATCAGTGTTGCTTCCTAAGTGGACAGTTTGATTTCACAGAAGTGTGATTGACTTGGAGTTACATTGTGTTGTTTAAGTGTTCCCTTTATTTTTTTTAGCAGTGTATATATATATAAAACACAGGAAAATCACATTTCTGACTGCACTGGGCCTTTAAAATGAAAAAATCATGACTGTGTGAAATGTGGGTGTCTGTCAGACCTACCTGTGGGTTAACGTCCAGTATGCAGGTGCGTCCTGCGTCCACCACCTCGTGGATGGAGTTCATCTTGGTTCCGTAGAGGTTTCCATCATACTCTCCATGCTCCAGGTAGCGACTGGCCTTAATGTCTGCCTCCATTTGGGACCGAGACACAAAGCAATACGACTGTCCGTCCCTCTCCTCCTCCCGAGCAGGCCGAGACGTGACTGGAGGGAGGGAGGGGATGGACGGAGGGAGGGTGAGGAGAGGAAGAGGGGTGAGGGAGGGTAAAAAGATAGAGGTGAGGAAGGGTGAGGAAGAATACCTTATTAATTCATAGAAGACTGAAGTTTGTCTTCTGCTGTACCCCTCTGATATACACACACACACATATACCGGGGGGACTGGGACTCACAGGGGACGGTGGTTCCATAGAGCAGAGGGTTGATGATGATCAGTCTGTTCTTCAGGCTGCGCCGGCCCACTCCCTGAGCACCAATCAGAACCAGGGTCTTCCTCTGGAATGGAGGCATCTTGGCCACCTCTTCGTAGATCTGCAGCTCGTGGCGGTCAAACTCTGGTCGTCACGACAACAGACACGCTACCACCATCAGCTTAGCTTGCTCAGTAATAATACTAACACATAACTACTGAACAAAAATATAAAACACAACATGCAACAATTTCAACGATTTTACAGAGTTACAGTTAATATAAGGAAATCAGTAAATTGAAATAAATTCATTTGGCATAAATCTATGGATTTCAAATGACTGGGCAGGGGCGCAACCATGGGTGGGCCTGGGAGGGCATAGGCCCACCCACTTGGGAGCCAGGCCCAGGTAATCAGAATGAGTTTTTCCCCACAAAAGGGCTTTATTACAGACAGAAATAGTCCTCAGTTTCATCAGCTGTCTGGGTGGCTGGTCTCAGACGATCCAGCAGGTCAAGAAGCCGGATGTGGAGGTCCTGGGCTGGCGGTTGTGAGGCCGGTTGGCCGTCCTGCCAAATTCTCTAAAACAATGTTGGAGGCGGCTTATGGTAGAGAAATTATAATTCAATTCTTTGGCAACAGCTCTGGTGGACAGCCCTGCAGTCAGCATGCCAACTGCACCCTCCCACAAAACTGGAGACATCTGTGGCATTGTGTTGTGACAAAACTGCACATTTTAGAGTGGCCTTTTATTGTCCCCAGCACAAGGTGCACCTGTGTAATCATCATGCTGTTTAATCAGCTTCTTGATATGCAACACCTGTCAGGTGGATGGATTATCTTGGTGAAGGAGAAATGCTCACAAAAAGGGATGTAAACTAATTTGCAAACAACATTTGAGAGAAATAAGCTTTTTGGGACCCAACATGTTGCGTTTATATTTTTGTTTTGTATAATATACAGTCATCTATACTATAGTGATATACACTGAGTGTACAAAACATTAAGAACACCTTCCAACTATTGAGTCACTTCCCCCATCCACACTGATTGAAGTGGATTTAACAAGTGACATCAAGGGATAATAGCTTTCAACTGGTCAGTCTGTCATGGAAAGAGCAGGTGTTCCTAATGTTTTGTACACTAGTGTAGAGCCAACAATGGATGGAAAATTAACCTACTCCACACATACCTATCGGTTAGGCTATAGTACACTGAAATATCACTGAAATATCAAATGAATGGTGGCCAATAATGAGAGAGAGGTGTAATCCAGCTGTTCTTTGCTTTGATATGCATTAGGAGATGGCTCTGGCCAACAATATGATGTTACTGATAACATTAGCTACAACTATAGGTTGTTATCAGTATAACACAACGCCCACAAGGTGAACTGAAGCCCTTTAGAGCAGGATCAGGATAAGAGGGGTCTAATGGCTGCTGAACACACCTGCATTCTTGGACATCATGTACATCATCTTCTTCTTCTTCTTCTTCCCTGTTAGTGTCCCACAGAGAACGCCTGGGAGGAACAAAACACATTAAAGCTCACTGAACCACAGGAGGGCACCAGAGTAAACATATTTCCTAAATATGCCTGAGTTGTGGACACAAGTAGAGGGGAAGTAGTGGGGGGGTGGGGTTATTTATTGGAGTGTGGACTTAGCCTATACTTTCATGGCAGTTTGCTGCCAAATGTGCTACTTTGAGAAATAAACTGTCCTGGGTATAGAGGCTGCGTGTATATAGTACCTTATTTCCTATATAGTAGGGTAAAGGGGGCCATTTGGGACACAGTCGAGTACACAAACAGGTGGAAATAATAAATTATTTTGGGGTAGATGTCATTACTTTGTTGAGTATAGAGATTTTACATTTTAGTCATTTAGCAGACGCTCTTATCCAGAGCGACAGTTAGTGAGTGCATACATTTTTCATACTGGCCCCCTGTGGGAAACGAACCCACAACCCTGGCGTTGCAAGCGCCATGCTCTACCAACTGAGCTACAGGGGGCTACAGAGATGTGTGTTACAATTCTATTTCACCTTAGTTGAACCAGGCAGTATTCTGAGCTATATAGGACGGTGTATAGAAGTCTAACTACCTAATAATAATAATAATAACACATTTTAAGCACTTTTCTCCCAAAGTCAGAAGTGTACCTGATCCATTCCATTCTCTCCTCACAAAGGCTTTTCTCTTCTCCTCTAAGAACTGACTGGGGATCAGTCCTGTGGCTCCTCCCACAATGTTGACCGCCTGAAGGACAGGATGTGAGGTCAGAGACGTGCTACTTCCTGTTTCTCTTGCTCTACTCTTGAGGATCAGTTCATTTTTGATTAAAAGTCACACATGGAATACTAGTCCCTATCCCATTAGGGGTGCTCAGGGCCGGGTTAGGACAGTTGGAAGCAATATGATTAAAAGTTCCACCTAGCCAATCAGAAGGCAAGATGGAGCATGGAGCTATTACCATATTGCTTACACTGCATCTATCCATCCAGTTGTTTCAGATCAAGTGCCTAGGGGTGGATGTGTGAAAGTCATTCAACCATGCTTCTAATTTAACCAATAAGGCATGAGAACCTGTGGATTATGGGGAATAACACAAGGCTAAGGGCTGTTCTGTTGTCAGCAGTACCTACCTGCCACCAGTTAGGGTCCTCTCTGTTGACAATGTGCAATACATCTCCTTTAGAGAAGGCCAGGCCAGCCTCCTTACAGGGGATCAGGTTGTCTGTGGCTGGGCTGTAGTTAAAGTGGGGTTTCAGATGCACCTGGAGAACAGGAGGACAATGTCTGTGTTACCATAGTTACAGCTTCAGGTAGAAAAAGGAAATAGGAGGGGTGTTTAACAACAATGACGTCATCTTCAGATTGTCAATTACCAACAGCCCAACGTTCGACAGTCTGTACTGTGAGAATCCACAGAGAGAAACAAACATAATTGGTCACATTCTGCCCCCAGCCAAAGACCACTGCCTTCTTGACAAAACCCTACATCAGGGCTCTCCAACCCTGTTCCTGGAGAGATACTCTCCTGTAGATTTTCACTCCAACCCTAATCTAACGCACCTGATTCTAATAATTATCTGGTTGATAAGCCGAACTAGGTTAGTTACAACTGGGGTTGGAGTGAGAACCTACAGGAGGGTAGCTCTCCAGGAACAGGGTTGGAGAGCCCTGCCTTACATAATGCCTCACAGCATTGCATGCTCTGGGTGGTGTGTATGTGTATACAGTAAGGGAGGCTTTAGTTTCCTCTCCTCCTCCCCATGCCCAGATTATTTTCTCTATAAAAAGGGCCAGGACCCTCCTCCCTCTCCCGCAGACCTTCCCCCCTTCCCTCCTCTTCCCCTCCTCCCCCCTCCCTCTCCCCCTCTCCCCCTCTCTCCCCCCCTTCCCCCCTTGCATACTTCCCTCCACTACCTCCCTCCCCCTTCCCTCTCCCCTCTCCCTCCCTCCCTCCTCCCTTACCTCCTCCTCTCCCCCTCTCCCTTCCCTCCTCTCCCTTCCCTCCTCTCCCCCTCTCCCCCTTCCTCTCTCTTTCTCAATTCTGTTTAAATTCAATTTAAGGGCTTTATTGGCATGGGAAACGTATGTTAACATTGCCAAAGCAAGTGAAGTAGATAGTAAACAAAAATGAAATAAACAATACAAATTAAGAGTAAACATTACACTCAGAAGTTCCAAAAGAATAAAGACATTTCCCAATGACTATGTATATATACAGTGCTGTAACAATGTGCAAATAGTTAAAGTACAAATGGGAAAATAAACATAAATATGGGATGTATTTACAATGGTGTTTGTTCTTCACTGGTTGCCCTTTTCTTTTGGCAACAGGTGACAAATCTTGCTGCTGTGATGGCACACTGTCGTATTTCACCAAGTAGATATGGAAGTTGATCAAAATTGGGTTTGTTTTCAAATTCTTTGTGGATCTCTGTAATCTGAGGGAAATATGTGTCTTTAATATGGTCATACATTTGGCAGGAGGTTAAGAAATGCATCTCTCTCTCTCTCTCTCTCTCACGATACATGGCCCCATTCATTCTTTCCTTTACACGGATCAGTCGTCCTGGTCCCTTTGCAGAAAAACAGCCCCAAAGCATGATGTTTCCACCCCCATGCTTCACAGTAGGTATGGTGTTCTTTGGATGCAACTCAGCATTCTTTGTCCTCCAAACACGACGAGTTGAGTTTTTACCAAAAAGTTCTATTTTGGTTTCATCTGACCATATGACATTCTCCCAATCCTCTTCTGGATCATCCAAATGCACTCTAGCAAACTTCAGACGGGCCTGGACATGTACTGGCTTAAGCAGGGGGACACGTCTGGCACTGCAGGATTTGAGTCCCTGGCGGCGTAGTGTGTTACTGATGGTAGGCTTTGTTACTTTGGTCCCAGCACTCTGCAGGTCATTCACTAGGTCCCCCCGTGTGGTTCTGGGATTTTTGCTCACCGTTCTTGTGATCATTTTGACCCCACGGGGTGAGATCTTGCGTGGAGCCCCAGATCGAGGGAGATTATCAGTGGTCTTGTATGTCTTTCATTTCCTAATAATTGCTCCCACAGTTGATTTCTTCAAACCAAGCTGCTTACCTATTGCAGATTCAGTCTTCCCAGCCTGGTGCAGGTCTACAATTTTGTTTCTGGTGTCCTTTAACAGCTCTTTGGTCTTGGCCATAGTGGAGTTTGGAGTGTGACTGTTTGAGGTTGTGGACAGGTGTCTTTTATACTGATAACAAGTTCAAACAGGTGCCATTAATAGAGGTAACGAGTGGAGGACAGAGGAGGCTCTTAAAGAAGAAGTTACAGGTCTGTGAGAGCCAGAAATCTTGCTTGTTTGTAGGTGACCAAATACTTATTTTCCACCATAATTTGCAAATAAATTCATTAAAAATCCTACAATGTGATTTTCTGGATTTTTTTTCCTCAATTTGTCTGTCATAGTTGACGTGTACCTATGATGAAAATTACAGGCCTCTCTCATCTTTTTAAGTGGGAGAACTTGCACAATTGGTGGCTGACTAAATACTTTTTTCCCCCACTGTATGTCGATATAGGACTTGTTTTACTGTGGATATACAGTGATGGAAAAAAGTATTTGATCCCCTGCTGATTTTGTACATTTGCCCACTGACAATGACATGATCAGTCTATAATTTTAAATGGTAGGTTTATTTGAACAGTGAGAGACAGAATAACAACAAAAAAATCCAGAAAAACGCATGTCAAAAATGTTATAAATTGATTTGCATTTTAATGAGGGAAATAAGTATTTGACCCCTCTGCAAAACATGACTTAGTACTTGTTGGCAAAACCCTTGTTGGCAATCACAGAGGTCAGACGTTTCTTGTAGTTGGCCACCAGGTTTGCACACATCTCAGGAGGGATTTTGTCCCACTCCTCTTTGCAGATCTTCTCTAAGTCATTAAGGTTTCGAGGCTGATGTTTGGCAACTCGAATCTTCAGCTCCCTCACATATTTTCTATGGGATTAAGGTCTGGAGACTGGCTAGGCCACTCCAGGACCTTAATGTGCTTCTTCTTGAGCCACTCCTTTGTTGCCTTGGCCGTGTGTTTTGGGTCATTGTCATGCTGGAATACCCATCCACGACCCATTTGCAATGCCCTGGCTGAGGGAAGGAGGTTCTCACCCAAGATTTGACAGTACATGGCCCCGTCCATCGTCCCTTTGATGCGGTGAAGTTGTCCTGTCCCCTTAGCAGAAAAACACCCCCAAAGCATAATGTTTCCACCTCCATGTTTGACGGTGGGGATGGTGTTCTTGGGGTCATAGGCAGCATTCCTCCTCCTCCAAACACGGCGAGTTGAGTTGATGCCAAAGAGCTCGATTTTGGTCTCATCTGACCACAACACTTTCACCCTGTTCTCCTCTGAATCATTCAGATGTTCATTGGCAAACAGACGGCCCTGTATATGTGCTTTCTTGAGCAGGGGGACCTTGCGGGCGCTGCAGGATTTCAGTCCTTCACGGCGTAGTGTGTTACCAATTGTTTTCTTGGTGACTATGGTCCCAGCTGCCTTGAGATCATTGACAAGATCCTCCCGTGTAGTTCTGGGCTGATTCCTCACCGTTCTCATGATCATTGCAACTCCACGAGGTGAGATCTTGCATGGAGCCCCAGGCCGAGGAAGATTGACAGTTATTTTGTGTTTCTTCCATTTGCGAATAATCGCACCAACTGTTGTCACCTTCTCACCAAGCTGCTTGGCGATGGTCTTGTAGCCCATTCCAGCCTTGTGTAGGTCTACAACCTTGTCCCTGACATCCTTGGAGAGCTCTTTGGTCTTGGCCATGGTGGAGAGTTTGGAATCTGATTGATTGATTGCTTCTGTGGACAGGTGTCTTTTATACAGGTAACAAGCTGAGATTAGGAGCGCTCCCTTTAAGAGTGTGCTCCTAATCTCAGCTCGTTACCTGTATAAAAGACACCTGGGAGCCAGAAATCTTTCTGATTGAGAGGGGGTCAAATACTTATTTCCCTCATTAAAATGCAAATCAATTTATAAAAAAATTTACATGCGTTTTTCTGGATTTTTTTGGTTGTTATTCTGTCTCTCACTGTTCAAATAAACCTACCATTAAAATTATAGACTGATCATTTCTTTGTCAGTGGGCAAACGTACAAAATCAGCAGGGGATCAAATACTTTTTTCCCCTCACTGTAGATACTTTTGTACCTGTTTCCTCCAGCATCTTCACAAGGTCCTTTGCAGTTGTTCTGGGATTGATTTGCACTTTTCGCACCAAAGTACGTTCATCTCTAGGAGACAGAACGCGTCTCCTTCCTGAGCGGTATGGCGGATGTGTGGTCCCATGGTGTTTATACTTGCGTACTATTGTTTGTACAGATGAACGTGGTAACTTCAGGCGTTTGGAAATTTCTCCCAAGGATGAACCAGACTTGTGGAGGTCTACACATTTTTTTCCTGAGGTCTTGGCTGATTTCTTTTGATTTTCCCATGATGTCAAGCAAAGAGGCACTGAGTTTGAAGGTAGGCCTTGAAATACATCCACAGGTACACCTCCAACTGACTCAAATGATGTCATTTTCTGGAATTTTCCAAGCTGTTTAAAAGGCACAGTCAACTTAGTGTATGTAAACTTCTGACCCACTGGAATTGTGACACAGTGAATTATAAATTAAATAATCTGTCTGTAAACAATTGTTGGAAACATTACTTGTGTCATGCACAAAGTAGATGTCCTAACCGACTTTAGTTTGTTAACAAGAAATTTGTGGAGTGGATGAAAAAATAGTTTTAATAACTCCAACCTAAGTGTATGTAAACTTCCGACTTCAACTGTAAATGTAATTGCTTAAATATACTTAAGTATCAAAAGTAAAAAGTAGAAGTATTAAAAATTCCTTATATTAAGGCACCATTTTCTTGTTATTTTAATTTACGGATAGCCAGGGACACACTCCAACATCATTTACAAATGAAGCATTTGTGATTAGCGAGTCCGCCAGATCAGAGGCAGTAGGGATGACCAGGGATGTTCTCTTGATAAGTGTGTGAATTTGACAATTTCCCTGGCCTACTAAGCATTTTAAATGTAGTGAGTACTTTTGGTTGTCTAAGGAAAATGTATGGAGTAAAAAGTAAATTATTGTCTTTAGGAATGTAGTGAAGTAAAAGTTGTCAAAAATATAAATAGTAAAGTACAGATACCCAAAAAAACGACTTAAGTAAAAATACTAAAGTACTTTACAAAAATCTAATCAAATACGACCAAGGGACAACTGAACAGTGCATTGTATATTCCCTCTCACCTGTACAGCCCCAGGTGCAGAAACAGGTTTTCAATAGGAGATAGGTGCATGGTACTCACATCTACGAAAAGTAGAGTATGAAAAAAAATATATGTATGCACTCACTAACTGTAAGTCGCTCTGGATAAGAGCGTCTGCTAAATGACTAAAATGTAAATCTAACAGTATCATTATTACAGCACCTCTGACCTAGTGGGTAACCAACCCTCCTCCTGAAGATCTACTTGTTCATGCAGGCTTTTGCTCCAGCCCTGTTTTAACACATCTGACTCTCCTAATCTGCTGAATCACCTCAACGAACTGAATCAGGTGTGTTGGTGCAGGGTTGGTGCAAAAGTCTACATTCCCAATTGCACTACAAGAGGAGGGTTAGCCACCCCTGTGTTGCAGTCATTAGAATGTGAATGGAAGCAAACAGTCAAACTGAATCCTACCTGAATCTGCCCAATAAGAAACATTTGTTTTTGTTTTCTGTTGCAAAAAAAATGTCTACGGTGCACTAATAAATACCACCCTGTTCTCACCTGTGGGGGTGCTGGAGTGTCGCGGTAGCTGGGAAGGATCTTGAGGGTGATGCCCCCCTGGCAGTCCCTCAGCAGCTCCAGCAGCTCCTTGGGGTCGCTGCCCACCTCGCGCCCGTTCACCTCCCTGATGACGTCTCCCGCGTGCAGCATGCCCTGCCGGTCGATCAAACTGCCGTGCAGGATCCTGGCGATCACCAGCTCCCCTCGGTCCACCCTGAACGTCACCCCCTGAGGAGGAGAAGAGAGGGGAGGAGAGAAAGAGAGGGGAGGAGAGAGAGGGAGAGGTTAATGCATCAGACAAGGGATTAAAATATGACATGTAGCTACACTGCTAAGTACAAACTTTGGACAGTCATCCAGCTCTTGCAGTTCGATTGGTAATGTCTGAGACTACGTCCCAAATGGTACCCTGTTCCCTACATAGTGCACTACTTTTGACCGGAGCCCGGCTATGGTCCCTTGTCAAAATAAGTGCACTATATAGGGAATAGGGTGCCATTTGGGATGCAGACATTAACTTACCAGTGGTTCGCCAGCCTTCTTCTGGATGCCAATCATCCTGACGGCGTCAGCGGGCATGAGAGGGCCGGTTGCCATGGCATTACTGTTCACCTCCGAGGGCGGCATCTCATAACATTTAGCTGCCACCTTATCATGGGCCTCAATCAGAGACTGGAGAGAGAGAGAGAGAGAGAGAGCGAGAGAGAGAGAGCGAGAGCGAGAGCGAGAGCGAGAGCGAGAGCGAGAGCGAGAGCGAGAGCGAGAGCGCGAGAGAGAGAGAGAGAGAGAGAGAGAGAGAGAGAGAGTTAGCTGCAACCTTGTCATGGGCCTCAATCAGAGACTGGAGGGAGAGAGAGACACTGGAGGAGAGAGATAGAGACTGAAGAGGAGAGAGAGAGCGCTAGCTGACATTTTATCATGGGCCTCGATCAGAGACTGGAGGAGAGTGAGAGACGGAGAGAGAGAGACGGAGAGAGAGAGACGGAGAGAGAGAGACGGAGAGAGAGAGACGGAGAGACAGAGATTATTATTGTAGAGTGAGTGAATTATTCCAGTATAACCTTAAGCCAATGGAAAAAAACATCACGATACAGAAAGGAAACAGCGTAACAGAGTTGGATTCGTAAATGTCTCCAAAAATCGAAATCACTCACTTTTCTATAGCGCAATTTGGCTAAGACGTTGTCAAGTGTGCAGTCACGTTTGTTTGAGAGGCAGAGGATCCCTGGTTGGTAAGGACAGGGAATGACTTGATACTGTTAATCAAGCACACACCTGTTACAACATCCCAAGACACACCAACATATAGATAGACCTGTATCCACACCCTCCTCATCAAAAACACTATTTCCTAATGTCACAGTCAAGCAGCAACAAGCATGGATTTACTACCAACTGGTAAGAGAAAAACACAGCCCACTGGATAACAGCTGCTCCAGTGTATATGAACCAATCACAGCTCCAGCACAGCCCACTGGATAACAGCTGCTCCAGTGTATATGAACCAATCACAGCTCTAACACAGCCCACTGGATAACAGCTGCTCCAGTGTATATGAACCAATCACAGCTCTAACACAGCCCACTGGATAACAGCTGCTCCAGTGTATATGAACCAATCACAGCTCTAACACAGCCCACTGGATAACAGCTGCTCCAGTGTATATGAACCAATCACAGCTCTAACACAGCCCACTGGATAACAGCTGCTCCAGTGTATATGAACCAATCACAGCTCTAACACAGCCCACTGGATAACAGCTGCTCCAGTGTATATGAACCAATCACAGCTCTAACACAGCCCACTGGATAACAGCTGCTCCAGTGTATATGAACCAATCACAGCTCTAACACAGCCCACTGGATAACAGCTGCTCCAGTGTATATGAACCAATCACAGCTCTAACACAGCCCACTGGATAACAGCTGCTCCAGTGTATATGAACCAATCACAGCTCTAACACAGCCCACTGGATAACAGCTGCTCCAGTGTATATGAACCAATCACAGCTCTAACACAGCCCACTGGATAACAGCTGCTCCAGTGTATATGAACCAATCACAGCTCTAACACAGCCCACTGGATAACAGCTGCTCCAGTGTATATGAACCAATCACAGCTCTAACACAGCCCACTGGATAACAGCTGCTCCAGTGTATATGAACCAATCACAGCTCTAACACAGCCCACTGGATAACAGCTGCTCCAGTGTATATGAACCAATCACAGCTCTAACACAGCCCACTGGATAACAGATGCTCCAGTGTATATGAACCAATCACAGCTCTTCCACACAAGGATAGGTAGACTACACATATTACTACACTTCTTCCAACACAACATAAGCGTTGTTTTTAAGACCAAAAGCAGCATGCAGGAAATAAAATCATTAAATCAGTCCCCAAAAGGAAAGATAGGATGAATATCAGTTTAGTTCTCATTGGCAGAGCAGCCATATCATAGGATGAATATCTGTTTAGTTCTCACTGGCAGAGCAGCCATATCATAGGATGAATATCAGTTTAGTTCTCACTGGCAGAGCAGCCATATCATAGGATGAATATCAGTTTAGTTCTCACCGGCAGAGCAGACATATCATAGGATGAATATCAGTTTAGTTCTCACCGGCAGAGCAGACATATCATAGGATGAATATCAGTTTAGTTCTCACCGGCAGAGCAGCCATACCATAAGATGAATATCAGGCTCACACACAGAGAGAGAGAGAGACAGAGAGAGAGCAGCAACATGCATCAGTACAGATCTGGTTCACACATGATAGAACTCCCTAACCCAGCAATGTGTGTACCTCCCCCCACTAGACCCTTCCACTCCCATTAGACCAGGGACAGAGCCCCCCCTTAGGCCGCAGTTTCTCATTGGTCCAGACAGAAAAGGCAAATGTTTTCTCTCTAGGAGGAGGAGGGGCAAGTAGCAGAGAGAGCGAGACAGAGAAGCAAAGAGAGAGAGAGATTTTTTTATTTAACTTTTATTTATTCAGGGGAAGCCATTGAGACCAGGGTCTCATTAACAATGGTGCCCTGAGGACAACAATACAACAAATTCTTAACAATAATAATAATATAAAGTAAATGACAATTTACAGAATTAACACAACAGCTTCACACACCACAAAAACAATTATTCAATCCAAACACCTGCAATTCTCATTAAACACATTCAACATTAAAGTCCTAAACTGCCCTAGAGGCACCACAGAGAGTCAATATGTATGGAGTTTGGTAGGCTTTTCCAAAAATGGAGGGCATTAAAACCGAAGGCGGATTTACCTAAATCAGTACGTACTAGTGGAACCTCGAGAGTTAACCATCCCTGTGAACGGGTTTTAACAGTGAAGTGAGGTAGGTCAGAAGCTTGTGTAGTAAAGCATTGTAAACAGAAAGGGAGTAATGAAGTGATCTATGGGATCTTAAGGAGGACCAGCCAACATTTTGATACATGATGCAATGATGCATATTAAAACTGTCACCTGTGATAAAGCGAAGGGCGCTATGGTAGACGGCATCCAATGGTTTAAGATTAGTGGCTGCTTCATTCCGATAAATGGTGTCACCATAGTCAAGAACTGGCAGGAGAGTTACCTGTACAATCTGCTTCCTGCTGTTTCTGGAGAGGCGGAATCTATTTCTATAAAAGAACCCTACTTTAAAATCTCAGCGTCTTAAAAGGAAAAATCTATTTTGGTATTTGTTTCATTAGTCCATTGTTGACATACAGAATTCATCCCTGTATGAAGCAAAATGCATCACACAGGGATGATTTAGGTATTTTGAAAGTTACATATCTCGAAAACGTAATCGCTGACAAGCAAAACATTTTGGGACTACGTCAACAATGGACTAATGAAACAAATCCCAACATATAGTTTTGGGGTGGAATTTTCCTTTAACTAGCTCATCCGTATGTTTTTTTTAAACGTCAAATTATTGTCAATCCAAAAGCACAGATATTTATAGGCGAGAACCTGCTCGATGAAAGAACCATCCAATGCATAAATGTGTAAGCCATCTAAAATATTTCTATGAAAATTTGAAAACCGAATTTTTTCCCGCATTGAGTACCAATTTTAAAATCAACAAGGACTTTCTGCAAGGCGACAAAATCAGATTGCAGCTCCAACATAGCCTGGTCAGCCGTAGGGGCAATAGCGTACATAGCAGTGTCATCTGCATACAGATTAATGTTACAGGTATTGCAGATAGACCATTATTATTTATATAAATAGTAAAGATGACAGGTCCCAAAATCGACCCTTGCAGGACACCTTTAGTAAAATCAAGGTAACTTGACACCATCAGAAAGCACACAGTGTCCTGTCTGACAGATACTGCACACTATATATAAACAAAAGTACGTGGACACCCCTTCAAATTAGTGGATTTGGCTATTTCAGCCACACCCGTTGCTGACAGGTGTATAAAATCGAGCACACAGCCATGCAATCTCCATAGACAAACATTGGCAGCAGAATGGCCTTACAGAAGAGCTGTGACTTTCAACGTGGCACCGTCATAGGATGCCACCTTTCCAACAAGTCAGTTCGTCAAATGTCTGCCCTGCTAAAGCTGCCCCAGTCAACTATAAGTGCTGTTATTGTGAAGTGGAAACGTCTAGGAGCAACAACGGCTCAGCCGCGAAGTGGTAGGCCACACAAGCTCACAGAATGGGACTGCTGAAGCGTGTAAAAATCGCCTGTCCTGTCCTCGGTTGCAACACTCATTACCGAGTTCCAAACTGCCTCTGGAAGCAACGTCAGCACAAGAACTGTTCGTCGGGAGCTTCATGAAATGGGTTTCCATGGCCGAGCAGCCGCACACTAGCCTAAGATCACCATGCGCAATGCCAAGCGTCAGCTGGAGTGGGGTAAAGCTCGCCGTTATTGGACGAATCCCGCTTCAGCATCTAGCAGTCCGACGGATTAATCTGGGTTTGGCGGATGCCAGGGGAACGCTACCTGCCCCAATGCATAGTGCCAATTGTAAAGTTTGGTGTAGGAGGAAAAATGGTCTGGGGCTGTTTTTGATGGTTCGAGCTAGGCCCCTTAGCTCCAGTGAAGGGAAATCTAAACGCTACAGCATACAATGACAGTCTAGACGATTCTGAGCTTCCAAATTTGTGGCAACAGTTTGGGGAAGGCCCTTTACTGTTTCAGCATAACAATGCCCCTGTGCACAAAGCAAGGTCCATACAGAAATTGTTTGTCAAGTTCGGTGTGGAAGAACTTGACTGGCCTGCACAGAGCCCTGACCTCAACCCCATCGAACACCTTTGGGATGAATTGGAACGCCGACTGCGAGCCAGGACTAATCACCGTGCCCGACCTCACTAACGCTCTTGTAGCTAAATGGAAGCAAGTCCCTGCAGCAATGTTCCAACATCTAGTGGAAAGCCTTCCCAGAAGAGTGGAGGCTGTTATAGCAGCAAAGGGGGGACCAACTCCATATTAATGCCCATGATTTTGGAATATGATGTTCGACGAACAGGTGTCCACATACTTTTGGTCATGTAGTGTAGTTCCAACCAGAGAGGCAGACACACACACAGAGAGAGACACACACACAGAGAGAGAGACGCAGACACAGAGAGAGGGGCAGACACAGAGAGAGAAAGAGAGAGAGAAAGAGAGAGAGAGAGGCACAGAGCGAGAGAGGCACAGAGAGAGAGAGAGAGAGAGAGAGAGAGACAGAGAGAGAGTCACAGAGAGAGAGCGAGAGCGAGAGAGACAGAGAGAGAGTCACAGAGAGAGAGCGAGAGCGAGAGAGACAGAGAGGCACAAAGAGAGACAGAGAGAGAGAGCGAGAGGCACAGAGAGAGAGAGAGGCACAGAGAGAGAGAGAGAGAGGCACAGAGAGAGAGAGACCCAGAGAGAGAGACCCAGAGAGAGAGAGACACAGAGAGAGAGAGAGACAGAGAGAGAGAGAGAGAGAGAGACAGAGACAGAGAGAGAGACAGAGAGAGACACAGAGACAGAGAGAGAGACAGAGAGAGAACGAAAGAGACTTCAGGAGGAATAAGGTGATTGTTGCTGTAAACAGCTCTGACAAGACAGGGCAGTCATTCCACCAGATTATGGCCCCAGCAGAGAGTCATTCTCTGGTCTACTTTCAGACTAGCTCTAACTACTCAACTGAATGGCACTGTGTGTGTGTGTGTGTGTGTGTGTGTGTGTGTGTGTGTGTGTGTGCGTGTGCGTGTATACATGGGTGTGTGTGTCTGTGTGTGTGTACCTTGAAGTGTGGTTCCTGGAGGATGTTGGCTAGTTCCTCAGCGGAGGCGTCTCTACCACTCAGCCCTGTAATGGAGTCTAGGATCTCTGAGATCAGCTGCTGGTTGTTGTCTCTCACAGCCTCCAGCTTCACATCCTCCAACCTCTCATGGGCCTGCAGAGAGAGGGGGGAGCGCACACACATTAATACACACAGTATTTAGTTCAGGTCCAAGAGGTATGGAGAGGCAACCTTTAGTTACTATGCCCCCAGCCTCTGGAATAGCCTGCCAGAGAACCTGAGGGGGGCCGAAACTGTGGACACATTTAAAAGAGATCTTAAAAACACCTTTTAAGCTTTGCTTTTCCTTAGGGTGCTTTTTAGTCGTTCAGTTTTTATTGTTATTATTTAGTTTTTTTTATTATCCTCTTACATTTGTTGTGTAGTAAATATTAAATATTTGTTTGTTTTTCCCTTTGATTTGATTTATGCATGCCCTGTCCCTGGTCAGTTTTTTTCTTTTCTTCCTGTGAAAAGTGAACCAAGGATAAATGTCCACCAGATGTCAGCATGTCCCATCTGAACACACACACGCACTGCTACTCCTGGGGCCACATTTATAACAGTTGTGTAAATTTCACACAAAATGTCCATTTCTGAAGTCTGTGCACGTTCATAAATATTTAGATTTATAAACTATACATGGTTACCGTTATAAACCAGACCCGTCATAAAACTTTGCGCGCATGAACGTAAAACTCTGCACTAACCCAGGGGTTGTGGGGGTGCGTGCTACGCCACTGCTTAGAACTTAATTACAGTGGGGGAAAAAAGTATTGACCCCTCTGTGATTGCCAACAAGGGTTTTGCCAACAAGTACTAAGTCATGTTTTGCAGAGGGGTCAAATACTTATTTCCCTCATTAAAATGCAAATCAATTTATAACATTTTTGACATTTTTTTGTTGTTATTCTGACTCTCATTGTTCAAATAAACCTACCATTTAAAATTATAGACTGATCATGTCATTGTCAGTGGGCAAATGTACAAAATCAGCAGGGGATCAAATACTTTTTTCCATCACTGTATATCCACAGTAAAACAAGTCCTATATCGACATACAGTGGGGAAAAAAAGTATTTAGTCAGCCACCAATTGTGCAAGTTCTCCCACTTAAAAAGATGAGAGAGGCCTGTAATTTTCATCATAGGTACACGTCAACTATGACAGACAAATTGAGGAAAAAAAATCCAGAAAATCACATTGTAGGATTTTTAATGAATTTATTTGCAAATTATGGTGGAAAATAAGTATTTGGTCACCTACAAACAAGCAAGATTTCTGGCTCTCACAGACCTGTAACTTCTTCTTTAAGAGCCTCCTCTGTCCTCCACTCGTTACCTCTATTAATGGCACCTGTTTGAACTTGTTATCAGTATAAAAGACATCTGTCCACAACCTCAAACAGTCACACTCCAAACTCCACTATGGCCAAGACCAAAGAGCTGTCAAAGGACACCAGAAACAAAATTGTAGACCTGCACCAGGCTGGGAAGACTGAATCTGCAATAGGTAAGCAGCTTGGTTTGAAGAAATCAACTGTGGGAGCAATTATTAGGAAATGGAAGACATACAAGACCACTGATAATCTCCCTCGATCTGGGGCTCCACGCAAGATCTCACCCCGTGGGGTCAAAATGATCACAAGAACGGTGAGCAAAAATCCCAGAACCACACGGGGGGACCTAGTGAATGACCTGCAGAGAGCTGGGACCAAAGTAACAAAGCCTACCATCAGTAACACACTACGCCGCCAGGGACTCAAATCCTGCAGTACCAGACGTGTCCCCCTGCTTAAGCCAGTACATGTCCAGGCCCGTCTGAAGTTTGCTAGAGTGCATTTGGATGATCCAGAAGAGGATTGGGAGAATGTCATATGGTCAGATGAAGAAAAAAAAAACACAACTCGTAGTGTTTGGAGGACAAAGAATGCTGAGTTGCATCCAAAGAACACCATACCTACTGTGAAGCATGGGGGTGGAAACATCATGCTTTGGGGCTGTTTTTCTGCAAAGGAACCAGGCCGACTGATCCGTGTAAAGGAAAGAATGAATGGGGCCATGTATCGTGAGATTTTGAGTGAAAACCTCCTTCCATCAGCAAGGGCATTGAAGATGAAACGTGGCTGGGTCTTTCAGCATGACAATGATCCCAAATGCTTCGTAAGAAGCATTTCAAGGTCCTGGAGTGGCCTAGCCAGTCTCCAGATCTCAACCCCATAGAAAATCTTTGGAGGGAGTTGAAAGTCCGTGTTGCCCAGCGACAGCCCCAAAACATCACTGCTCTAGAGGAGATCTGCATGAAGGAATGGGCCAAAATACCAGCAACAGTGTGTGAAAACCTTGTGAAGACTTACAGAAAACGTTTGACCTGTGTCATTGCCAACAAAGGGTATATAACAAAGTATTGAGAAACTTTTGTTATTGACCAAATACTTATGTTCCACCATAATTTGCAAATAAATTCATTCAAAATCCTACAATGTGATCTTCTGGAGAAAAAAAAACTCATTTTGTCTGTCATAGTTGACGTGTACCTATGATGAAAATTACAGGCCTCTCTCATCTTTTTAAGTGGGAGAACTTGCACAATTGGTGGCTGACTAAATACTTTTTTCCCCACTGTATAACTATAAGAAATCTCAGATGTGTCAAATTAATTATATCCAGCTCAGGGCTCCAGCTGTTTATTTGGTTTGCTAATTTACTTGCTAAGTGGCTAGATGTCAAGATCAAGCTTCTTGGTTACAGCAGAGACATTCAATCCCCTCCTGGATCAAGTTCCCTTTTGCCTATATCTTGTGCGTCAAATGTTTTTTGAATAATGTTTTGTTGGGGGGGAAATAGTGCCCCGTGTGTGCACATTCGGTAATACACCCCGGTACGGTACAGAAACGGTATGACAATCTGGATACCGCCCAACCATAATCCCCCCCCCACAAAGCAATCAAGAAACAACTTGGTTGCAAGCAACTAAAATTGCGTGCAAGTTGCGTCGTGTACTGGCAGATTGGCTGGCTGGCTAACAGGTCATACCCTACATTCAAACATTCGTGGCCAAAATTTTCCAGACTGCTGCTGTTTGAATGAGGGGTAGTGACTCATTGCCATTATTGGCACAGTCCGTTCTTACAAGATGGAGGAGACATTTATATGGTGGCCCCGAGTGCCTCTTCCTCTCCCCTGCTCCTCTACTCTCTTAACTGATGATATGATGGAGTGTGTGGGTGTGTTACCTTGGCGAGGGAGCGGACTATGGGGCTCTCTATGATGCCCCTGAGGAAGAGGAGGTCAGTGTCTTTGGCGCCCGTGGTGGGGGGCAGGTCTCTCAGGTTATCCAGCACCTGCTGCATGGCTGGAGGACACACACATTTTAAAAACTTTATTTTGAATCCACAAATCATTTGTCCTATGTAGGCCTGCAATCTGAAGGCCACGTACTGTCAGCCTATGTACATGGCAGAGACTCCCAAACATCAGCACCACAAGTTCGCACTGATAACCGAGGATGTTCAGTCGTGACACGAGGGGCTGGTATTTCAGCAACTTGGTAGCAAAGGTCTGCTCCATGTAGGGATAAAATAAAAGCAACCCACTTCCAAAATGAGCACCTCCCTCTGGCCTTCCCCACAACAACACCTGGCATATTTGGTACACAAGAAAACACAATCATCATCATCAAACCAGGATCTTCTGACAAGAGAATGTTTGTAAATGTGCGCTGATGGTGGGATTGCCTGTCTCACCTCAGTAGCTATCAGGAAGACCAGGCGGTCATGTCTAGCTACAGTGCATTCGGAAAGTATTCAGACCCCTTGACTTTTTCCACATTTTGTTAAGTTAGTCTTATTCTAAAATCGATTAAATAAATAAAAATCCTCAATCTACACACAATACCCCGTAATGACAAAGCGAAAACAGGTTTAGAAATGTTTGCAAATAAAAAACAGAAATACCTTATTTACATAAGTATTCAGACCCTTTGCTATGAGACTCAAAATCGAGCTCAGGTGTATCCTGTTTTCATTGATCATCCTTGAGATGTTTCTACAACTTGATTGGAGTCCACCTGTGATAAATTCAATTCATTGGACATGATTTGGAAAGCCACACACCTGTCTATATAAGGTCCCACAGTTGACAGTGCATGTCAGAGCAAAAACCAAGCCATGAGGTCGAAGGAATTGTCCATAGTGCTCCGAGACAGGATTGTGTCGACAGATCTGGGGAAGGGTACCAAAGCATTGAAGGTCCCCAAGAATGCAGTGGCCTCCATCATTCTTAAATGGAAGAAGTTTGGAACCACCAAGACTCTTCCTAGAGCTGGCTGCCCGGCCAAACTTATCAATGGTGGGAGAAGGGCCTTGGTCAGGGAGGTGACCAAGACCCTGATGGTCACTCTGACAGAGTTCCAGAGTTTGTGTGTGGAGATGGGAGAACCTTCCAGAAGGACAACCATCTCTGCAGCACTCCACCAAATCAGGCCTTTATGGTAGAGTACCCAGACGGAAGCCACTCCTCAATAAAAAAAGGCACATGACAGCCCGCTTGGAATTTGCCAAAAGGGCACCTAAAGGACTCTCAGACCATGAGAAAAAAATATTCTCTGGTCTGATGAAACCAAGATTGAACTCTTTGGCCCGAATTTACGTTTGGAGGAAACCTGGCACCATCCATATGGTGAAGCATGGTGGTGGTAGCATCATGCTGTGGGGATGTTTTTCAACGGCAGGGACTGGGAGACTAGTCAGGATCGAGGGAAAGATGAACGGAGCAAAGTACAGAGATCATTGATGAAAACCTGCTCCAGAGCGCTTAGGACCTCAGACTGGGGCGAAGGTTCACCTTCCAACAGGACAATGACCCTAAGCACACAGCCAAGTCAACGCAGGAGTGGCTTCGGGACAAGTCTCTGAATGTCCTTGAGTGGCCCAGCCAGAGCCCGGACTTGAACCCGATTGAACATCTCTGGAGAGACCTGAAAATAGCTGTGCAGCGGTGCTCCCCATCCAACCTGACAGAGCTTGAGAGGATCTGCAGAGAAGAATGGGAGAAACTCCCCAAATACAGGTGTGCCAAGCTTCTAGTGTCATACCCAAGAAGACTTGGCCGTAATCGCTGCCGAAGGTGCTTCAACAAAGTACTGAGTAAAGGGTCTGAATACTTATGTAAATGTGATATTTCAGAATTGTATTTGTAATAAATGTGCAAACATTTCTAAAAACCTGTTTTTGCTTTGCCATTATGGGGTATTGTGTGTAGATTGATGAGGGGAAAAAACAATTTAATCAATTTTAGAATAAGGCTGTAACATAACAAAATGTGGAAAAAGTCAAGGGGTCTGAATGCTTTCCGAACGCACTGTATGTACATGTCCTTGTATGAACGGCCTGTCTCACCTCAGTAGCTATCGGGAAGACCAGGTGGTCATGTCTAGCTTTATACAATGGGTGGGTCTAATCCTGAATGCTGATTGGTTAAAACCGCATTCCAGCCGGTGTCTATTCCACAAGTTACCACCGGCTACATCTATGACGTTAAAATGCCTATTTACTCTGTTCCATCTGACTGCGCAATCCACTGTCAGGTAATTTATAAACTTGATCTCCACTATAAAAAACATCTAGACATTATCTCACATTTCTTTTAGACTAACATTTCGTTTTCAACAGCGGAGATTTGTAATGTCTCTCCGACATTTGCAACATTGTTTCAATATACAAATTCGATCTCCAGCTGTCCTATAGTAATGAACGTGTCGGGACAAAACAGACAGGCAGGCAGCATTTCTCAGCCAGTCCAAATCATGAATCAGCTGGCATCATTTTTATGTACATATACACAAAGAAATTTCAATTGAAAAAAGGTCAAATGAAACATACAGCTAGTTTGCAGTCTTTCCAGCTTCAGTTTGAAGTGATTGTGTTAGCTGTGTTGTTGGCTAGCTCCTCTGAACAGCAGTGTCCTGACGAGAGAGCAAATGTTCTATGCCAGGCGGAATCGCGCCTCCTTAGCTCATTGTTATGGATGTATCCAAATAAATGTCACTAGAAAACAACTTAAACAAATGCAAATGCAGCTGCTGTTATTCCGGCTGCACTGTTTGACGTGACTGTAAGTTAGCCGTGGTTGGCTAGCTAGCAAGCAAGGGATAAGCTAATTATTTCACAGCAGATTTTGAATTGAGTTGATAAATGATAATCGTTGTCTGTTTTTTAAAATTGATTTATAATGGTTTTCTGTCTCGAGGACAGATTGCACACAAACATGCATAATCCAATTCTGTCAAGGGAATTTGAGGCAGAAATAGGTGTTTTAAATCCTCTTCGTCTCATCTGTGGGACAACCAGTATACATTTTCAGCTGTCCGTCATTCATAACCCGAACACACACACACACACACCTTAAACCAGAAACCACCAGTGAGTTTATAGGCCATGTGTTTATTTTAACACTACCTGGGTTTACGATATAACTGTTACTAGAACCTTTCTGATTAGGAACTACGTTTATTGCCAGGGAGAGGCAGAAACCAGCAGGACACTGCAGCGCTTGAAGGGTTTGAGTTGTAGTTCTACAACCCTGAACTAGTGAAATGTAACATCTGTTGTAATTATCAGCTACTCTACTCCTTATTTAAGCTGACATACAGTGAGTTATGCCGTACTGCATTGAGGTGTAATGTATTTTAGTTTCTGGCGTTATGTCAATTCTTATGATTCTCAATTCTCATTAAGTAGAGAGTTGCGACCTAACCAAACATTGTATTACTTAAATAAATGAGCCTATAGTTTTGCTTGTCTTCGTGAATGACACACAAACCCGATTGTCAACAAGTGTTGTAGAACAAATGTAGCCAATAGTAATATTGTTAACCCAGGTAAAACAAATAATTGGTATGGGTTTGATACGGGGGGTCAGTATGAAAATGTATGCACTCACTAACTGGAAGTCGCTCTGGATAAGAGCGTCTGCTAAATGACTAAAATGTAAATGTAAATAAGAACGTTACCAGCCAGTATGGCAATGGAACATTTAGAACGAACAAACCATAAAAATGATGCCAGCTGATTCATGATTTCGACTGGCTGAGAAAAGCTGCCTGTCTGTCTGTCTCGTCCCGACATGTTCATTACTATGCGACAGCTGGAGATCGAATTTGAATATTGAAACAATGTTGCAAATGTCAGAGAGAGACCGACAGCAAGGTTTATACAAATCTCTGCTGTTGTAAACTAAATGTTAGCCTAAAAGAAATGTGAGATAATGTCTAGATGCTTTTTATAGTGGAGATCAAGTTTATAAATTGCCTGGCTGGGCTGATGAGACAGTGGATTGCGCAGTCAGATGGAACAGATTAAATAGACATTTTAAAGTAATAGATTTAGCCGGTGGTAACTTGTGGAATAGACTCCGGCTGGAATGCGGTTTTAACCAATCAGCATTCAGGATTAGACCCACCTGTTGTATAATTCAAGATGGATGTTGATGAAACACGTCACGCCCCTTTAAACTGTCTATTTAAATTTCTATGGTAACCACATTTGATTAGGATATGAATGAGTGCATAGTGATACATTCCAAACATCAAGATCAAACACAAATGTGGGGCCTTGCTGTAAAATACCTGGCATAACAAGGCGTGAAAAAACAACTGGAGCAGTAAGTTATTATCAATGGAGTGATTCAGTATGAAAAGCCTTAATTTCCATAACCCTAACAAGCAACGGATAAGTCCCAAATGGCACCCTATTCCCTTTATAGTGCACTACTTTTGACCAGGGCTCTGGTCAACAGAAGAGCACTATATAGGGAATAGGGTGTCATTTGGGACAGACAATGACTGGTCCCACTGGCAGATCTCTCCAACATTAACTATACAGGAGAACAGAACCGTTTCCCCAATTCAAGCCTGTAAGTGGTTACTTGCAAAACACACAAGGCTTGTCACAGCTTACTTACAGCTTTCTCTGGTCTAAGTTCTAATCTTCAGAAATCAAATATAGAGAAAATTCAGATATAAAATCATAAGGACTTTGACTTGCACACACTAACATACAGGTAATAAAGGAAACTCCAACATAAAGTGTCTTAATAGGGTGTTGGGCCACCACGAGCCGTCAGAACAGCTTCAATGCGCCTTGGCATAGATTCTACAAGTGTCTGGAACTCTATTAGAGGGATGCAACACCATTCTTCCATGAGAAATTCCATCTTTTGGTGTTTTGTTGATGGTGGTGGAAAATGCTGTCTCAGGCGTCACTCCAGAATCTTCCATAAGTGTTCAATTGGGTTGAGATCTGGTGACTCAGACACACACCCTTTAAACCCCCATGCTACTTTGAGACTCAATATTAGGAAGGTGTTCCTAATGTTTGGTATACTCAGTGTATTATACAACAATACAAGAATCTGGAATGTAAACAAACCCAATGCACCATTATAATACCTTGGAAATAATATGTTTTTGAGGGACATTTGAATGGAACAATAACACTACAGGATTAACTTCCCCCTAGGTACAGATCTAGGATAGGCTTCTCCGCCACCAATCCTAACCATTAGTGGGGGAAAATGCTGACCCAAGATCAGTGTCTAAGGGCAACTTCACCCTACATCAAAACCAGTCTGACTGCCCTCACCTCAGGCAGACTGACAGACAACACAGCACCTGGAAGGCTGGAGAAGGCAGGGTACCCAGGTCAAATTGTTTCCACTTCATCAGATACAAACCAGGATGTCAACAACAACGTTGATCATTCTCATTTACATAGTTTCAAAGCCTTGGTGCGACATACCACCAAGATCAAACACAGCCATATCTCCACTACAGTACGTGTTTCAGGTGCAATATGTTTGCCCAGCCGAGGATTATGAACAGACAGAATGACACAGAGGGACATTGAGGGCGGTCTGAGAGGATGGGTTTTTCCCCACTCCTCCTGGATAAAGGTTGTGCCCCAAATAGTAACCTATTTCCTTCATGGGCCCTGGTCAAAAGTAGTTCCCTATATAGGAAAAAGGGTGCCATTTGGGACACATCCCCAGAGTTCCACACAGGGAGGCTCCTGGTGACTGTACAAACACATTCTCCAAACAGAGGAGAGTGCAAACTGCCCTAACCAAACCCACTGTGGCTCGGTAGTCCAGATGGACACACACACACACAGCAGAAAATATATTTCCAGAACAGACACATTATTGTCCCGCTTCACACCTTAGTTATTCAGACATCATCATGAATGGAGTTTCAAATAGAGACTCATGCTTAACCAATCAGTGTTTAAAAAGGTGGAAGTGACAGAAGAATGGAAGAAGTAAAGAAGGAAGTGGAATCTCTGACACTCACCTGTGAATTGTGCTCCAATACAGCGCAGCACAACGGCTCAAAGCCTTACTCCCAGTACACACCAGTCATCTGGTGCCCCGCCTGCCTGCCTGTTGCAACACAGAAGAACCTGAAGGAAACACAGGGAGAAAACACCTTGTTATTACCCAATAATAAGGGATCGCTAGCTAACCTGAAATGCCTTCTAACAGTCACTCATCTGAAATAGCGGCGTCGGCCGTTAAAGGACAATATTCCATCCACTTAACATTTCAGTCCTGCTGTAGATGTAATGTTCAACAGTTTCTATTTGGTCAGATCACTGCCACTCCAGAGGGCTTTCATTCCCCACTCTTTTACTAGTCTTAGTATGTGCTTTCTGATTGGACAAAGAAAGTCATGTGGTCATACCGGTCTGGTTAAAGGCTCATTACCACCGGCAAACGAGAAAGAATTAACATCTAGAGAAAGCTGCTGCATGGCTGTGGGGGGAGAGAGAGAGAGAGCGCGAGAGAGACTGCATTAATCGCATTATGTCGATTACCCTAGAGGTCAAGAGTGCAAGTGGTCAACTCCAGAGCTGCCAAGTCACTGGCATCATTAAGTGGCCTATATCTGTCAGATTGGTTTTCATCACCACAGGGATTAGAAGCATTTGAAGCGTTCAACGTTCAAACCGTTTCACATTGGGCTTATGCTTCTAGGCTGCGTCCCAAACGGCACCCTATGGGCTGTGGTCAAAAGCTATAGGGAATAGAAGGGAACATGGTGCCATTTGGGAACCACCACAAATCATATCAGCGCAAAGTGTCTGACAAGTATATCTGACATGCCATCTACTGTCTGTAGCTCTGGGACTACAGCACTGTCACCCTCACTCTACCCTGCGACCCTCACTCTACCATGCGACCCTCACTCTACCATGCGACCCTCACTCTACCATGCGACCCTCACTCTACCCTGCGACCCTCACTCTACCCTGCGACCCTCACTCTACCCTGCGACCCTCACTCTACCCTGCGACCCTCACTCTACCATGCGACCCTCACTCTACCATGCGACCCTCACTCTACCATGCGACCCTCACTCTACCATGCGACCTGTAGTGAAGGCTGCACTGTGTCCTGTAGTGGAGGCTTCACTGTGTCCTGTAGTGGAGGCTTCACTGTGTCCTGTAGTGGAGGCTTCACTGTGTCCTGTAGTGGAGGCTTCACTGTGTCCTGTAGTGGAGGCTTCACTGTGTCCTGTAGTGGAGGCTTCACTGTGTCCTGTAGTGGAGGCTTCACTGTGTCCTGTAGTGAAGGCTGCACTGTGTCCTGTAGTGAAGGCTGCACTGTGTCCTGTAGCGGGAGTGCTATGTCCAGATTTTCTACCCAGGCCTTCTCCCTGAGGTGTGTGCACTATGTCCAGATTTTCTACCCAGGCCTTCTCCCTGAGGTGTGTGCACTATGTCCAGATTTTCTACCCAGGCCGCCAGTATGATATTCAATACCGTTTTTAAAAAAAACTTTTATTTTGGGGTTGGGGGCACACTGGACTGCGGGGTGTGTGTGCTACGTCACTGCTTATAACTATAAGTATAACTAACTATAAGAAATCTAAAAATGTCAAATAAATTATATCCCTGTTGCTTAAATTGGTTTGTGCAACAAAAAACAAAACGGTATGGTACAGAAACTATATGAAATAGATATCGCCCAACCCTAATGAATACTGTAGTATTTACAGTTTACTATAGTATAAATAATGTAGTAAAAAAAAAAAAAAAAGTATATATATACACACTATAGTAATTACTGTTGTGTTTTTGCAGACTGTAGTATACTGTAGTATACTCTGTAGTGTTTTTATGGACATTACTGTAGTATTAACTAAAGTGTTTTTATTTAATTATCTTTGACATAGAAGTGGGGGGCTTTCTCCTTGAGGAAACTTACTGGAGAAATACTGAAAGAGCAAATAGGGCCGAGTGGCGCAGCGGTCTAAGGCACTACAGACCCGGGTTCCATCCCAGGCTGTGTCGCAGCAGGCCGCGACCGGGAGACCCATGAGGCGGCGCACAATTGGCCCAGCGTCGTCCGAGTCAGGGGAGGGTTTGGCCGGCCGGGATGTCCTTGTCCCATCGCGCTCTAGCGACTCCTTGTGGTGTGCCGGGATGTCCTTGTCCCATCGCGCTCTAGCGACTCCTTGTGGTGGGCCGGACGCATGCACGCTGACTTCGGTCGCCAGCTGGACGGTGTTTCCTCTGACACATTGGTGCGGCTGGCTTCCGGGTTAAGCGAGCAGTGTGTCAAGAAGCAGTGCGGCTTGGCAGTGTCGTGTTTCGGAGGACGCACGGCTCTCGACCGTCGCCTCTACCGAGTCCGTACGGGAGTTGTAGCGATGGGACAAGACTGTAACTACCATTTGGGGAGAAGAAGGGGTAAAAAGTACCAAATAAAATAAAAATACCAAATAACTTGTAGGTAGGATTGGGTTCTGAACAGGGAGTTCAGAGCTTCTGCTCTTTTCATAACCATAGGGAACACAATATATGGTATTTACTTGTCATGTAGGTTTCTCACTTACGGGTGGCACAAATTGGGATATGGGGGAGGGGAATGGGCAGGGTATATGCAAATTAAATACTGTAGTATTTACTATAGTTTTTTTTTTTTTATGTAGTGTTTTTGCTGACATTTATGTAGTATTTACTACAGTGTTTTAATGTGGAGAATACTGTAATATTTATTATAGTATTGTACACTATACTACAAAATTCTATACTAAGTACTACACTCGGGAGCGGTACTATACTAAGTACCGCTCCATAGTGGCGCGGCGGTCTAAAGCACTGCATCTCAGTACTAGAGGCGTCACTGCAGACCCTGGTTCGGTTCCAGGCTGTATCACAATCCGGCCGTGATTGGGAGTCCCATAGGGCGGCGCACAATTTTCCCAGCGTCGTCCGGGTTTGGCTGGGGTAGGCCATCATTGTAAATAAGAATTTGTTCTTAACTGACTTGCATAGTTAAATAAAGGTAAAATAAAATATTTAAAAAAAAACACATGATCAAGGGATACTACAGTGTATGGTATTCTATAGTAAGTACTATAGTATTCCATAGTAAACTGTAGTATTTTTTTTATGTGGGTTTAAATTAGAGCACTGAATTGGTTTAAGCATTAATTATTTTGATATCATGGATGGTCAGTCCTTGCATCCATAGCGCTGTCTACGCATTTGAGAGTGGTTACATTTCTCCAGGCCCATCCCTCAGCTTCTGAACAAAACAGAGGCGGAGTCACCACTTTGTTATTGTTTCAATTAAGGACTCTAGCTTTACACCAGTCCATTCCTGTTCAAATATGTGAGGGGGAGTGAATGAGTGCAGTACACACTGACTGCACACTTCAGAGAGAATCAGAATTCAGGCAGGTTGCGTGTCCCAAATGGCACCCTTTTCCCTATATAGTGCACTACTTTTGACCAGAGCCCTATGGGTGCCATTTGGGAGGCATCCAGGGTGGGTTCCCCACTGCCGCTCTCGCCAGCAGCATTCCCACAGAGGCTGAAATTCCCTGGATTCTCTAACACCTCAATTAAACCCTGAAGCCAGCCAGAGTCCCAGCCAGGGACCAGGGGGAAAGGGACCCAGCCAGGGACCAGGGGGAAAGGGATCGGGAAAGGAACCCAGCCAGGGACCAGGGTATATCATAAGCAGTGGGCTAAAGGGATGAATGGGCTTCACTGTCAGACCAGGGGCTTATTCAGGAGAGTGCTTCAGTGCAATGTTACAAACCATTTAAATATAAAAGTGAATTGTAGAATAGACAAGGTTCTCTATACATTTGTCTGAAGGATCGTACTACTGTACTCCATTGAATACGCCCCTGGACTGCCCCTGTCTGTCCTTCTACAGTGTCCCCTCAGCTTTGCTTTTATTTCACTAAATGGGACACCATGTCACAAGGCTTTTTATTGATGAAATACCGGAACTGAGAGTGAAAAAGTTGTTTAAAGCTCAGACGCAAACAAGGATTTTGACAAGCCGCTGACCTACACTGCCACAGGAATGAAGAACAAAAACCACTAATTACAGGAAGAAGTCAAAAGTTGGCATGACCTTCCTTTGTGGTCTGTTGATCCAAACAGATCATGTCTCCCAAATAACAGAATCAAAAGGACAAGATGTATGTCCCAACTGGCACCCTTTCCCTGTATAGTGTACTAAGTTTGACCAGGCCCCCCTTGTGCACCATGAAAAGGGTGCCATTTGGACCAAGGTATCACAAGTTGTTAGATTGGACAATCTGTTTTATCATTCAATGTGTCAATGGAAACGTCCAAGTCATGATGAAATGATGGGCTCATATGTGAGCAAGCCGACACTGACAGAATAATAATTACACATAGCCAACTAAAAAGGGCGGATCCATGCAAAGCAAAATATGTGATACAATTTGGTGGACAGGTACAGTAGCTACATTGGTTTCTCTCTTCCTTGTTGACACTGAAGTGTCCTTTCGCAATTTGTCTAACATTGCTATGTCTGACTCTTACAGCTCAGCACGTGGAACCTTCCAGAAAGCCAACACAAATCTCCCAAACACCCTAGTTACCCTCCAAATAACACATTTGGGACACACATCTTGTTACAGTAGTGCACACAAATATTAGCTAGCTTCGTGTGCGAGGTGCGGAACACGTGCAGACATTTTGGGTTTCCCATTTGGCTGAGACAGAGCAGATGAGTGGTCGCATGGGACACGTTCCTAGCGGTTTGCTAACTTTATTAGCCAACTGTCCGATTGATATCAAGCAAATACAACCACTTTTCTGGCCAATTAACTCATTGGTATTTTTGAGGCATTTCGAGCACAATTTGACGGAGTACAAAATGACAGCAGAGGATTGGCACAATTCCACATAACTTGTGGCAAACAAGCTAACTGGATATATGGTTTAGATTGCCAATAAGCAAACTAGTTATAGGTAGTCTAGAAATATAGCTAACACGCTCGATGTTTGGTAAGCAATGGTAGCTAGCATGTTATTATTAGCTTGCTAGCTATCAACTCTGAGCCCCAGCCTGACTGGATCCAGCTAGTTGGCTAGCGAGTGTTGCAAGAATGGTGAGTGGATTGCTAGCCTAACCTGACTTGCGTTTCGCTATTTGAACCCTTTTTCGTGGCACTGAGCCCCTCACGCTGTTTCGAAGTCTAATGGGCTATGAAGGAGATGGTAATAAAATGTATGACTTTACCTGACGTTCTCCGTGTGATTCCGTCAGATTTTCAAATCTCCATAGATTCCGTGCACCCCAGAGTAGGCTACTATTTCTTGCTCGCAACCGGCGACGCCTGTCATGGAGACATGCCGCCGAATGACGTTTGATCTCGAAGTCCACTTTAGAGACGAATGTAGTTTCCACCCACTGAATAACGTACTACAGAAATACTTTCATGCAAACTCTGATTACTATCAGTTTGCTTTACTTACCAGATTTGTTGGACTAATTTCCTCACACTCACTGAACTTGGTATAGTATAAAATATTATCAATGTTTTATATTGTGTCTAAACTTCAGACTTGCTCTTGAATAATTTATTCTATTATAGATTATTCTGTATTTGACATTGACTGTGACCACGCTCTACAAACAGCTTTAACCCACACAGCAACATCCTTATATAGTATAGCCCGCTATGGGTCCTGGTCAAAAGTAGTGCACTATATAGGGAATAGGGTGCCATTTGGGACGTATTATCCCTATGTTAGTTAAACAACATGACTAGCCACTGTTACACATTCATACTCCCTGTGAAATAAATAACAAGCATTAAACACGAGTAGCCTAAACAGTGCCTTCGGAAAGTATTCAGACCCCTCGACTTTTCCCACATTTTGTTACGTTACAGCCTTATTCTAAAATGGATTAAGTTAATTAATTTTTCCTCATCATTCTACACACAATAGCCCATAATCACAAAGCGAAAACCGGTTTTTAGAAATGTTTGCAAATTTATTAAAATAAAAAACAGAAATACCTTATTTACATAAGTATTCAGACCCTTTGCTTTGAGACTCGAAATTGAGCTCAGGTGCATCCTGTTTCCATTGATCATCCTTGAGATGTTTCTACAACTTGATTGGAGTCCACTTGGCCTGAATGACAAGCGTCACATCTGGAGGAAACCTGGCACCATCCCTACGGTGAAGCATGGTGGTGGCAGAATCATGCTGTGGGGATGTTTTTCAGCGGCAGGGACTGGGAGAATAGTCATGATTGAGGGAAAGATGAACAGAGCAAAGTACAGAGATATCCTTGATGAAAACCAGGTGTGCCAAGCTTGTAGCGTCAACTGTAGCTCAGTCGGTAGAGCATGGCGCTTACAACGCCAGGGTTGTGGGTTCGTTTCCCACAGGGGGCCAGTATGAAACATTTATGCACTCACTATCTGTAAGTCGCTCTGGATAAGAGCGTCTGCTAAATTACAAACAAACAAAAATGGACTGAAGGCTGTAATCGCTGCCGAAGGTGCTTCAACAAAGTACTGAGTAAATGGTCTGAATACTTATGTAAATGTAATGTTTTTTTAAATTATCAATTTGCACACATTTCTAAAAAACAGTTTTTGCTTTGTCATTATCGGGTGTGTAGTTCGATGAGCAAAAAAAAAACTATTTTATCAATTTTAGAATAAGGCTGTAACGTAACAAAATGTGGAAAAAGTCATGGGGTCTGAATACTTTCCGAATGCACTGTATATTTCAGTACAGCCAAGACACCAGAGCCCTGGTCAAAAGTTGTCCACAATATAGGGTGTCAATTGAGACTCAAACAGAGAATCTTAATGTTACATTTGAGCATTCTATAACATTGAACCCTATAGAACAGGCCCCACATTATCTTATAAAACAGGATTTAGTCCCAAATGGCACCCTACCAGGCCCCAATGGGACTATGGTCAAAAGTAGTTCACTACAAAGGTAATAGGGTGCCATTTGGGACACAGATTAGGTAACTGTGTACATGCACCAGATCTTCAATATCATGAGGTCCCTTTGAGGTAACCATGTCAGCGTCCCAAATAGCACCCTATTCCGTAGTGAACTACTTTTGACATCGGCCCATAGGGATCCAAGGCCACTTCATACGATTCTACACCTTAATCTGTTTTCACGTTCGGCAAGGTGCTGTTATATAGCCGATTGTACACAATCAAAATCCACACAGACCAGTGAAAGGTTAACAGTGTTACACATTGAAATAATGAATCGAATGTTATTCTCACCTTTCACTCCGCTGTTAGAAGGCTAGATTCCAAGCTGGAGTATTATGGTGTCTGAGAGTACCAGGGCCACTCCAGTAGAGGGCAGTATAACCAGTGGGAACAAAGAGAACCCTGTGCACAGCAGTGGTTCTTGGTGTAGATCCAGGTCCTGGTTGTGGCAGGAACAACTAGTTTCCAATAAGTGTAAAATCCACACTAGAAAATACACTTATCTTATTAAGACCACTTTGCTTACTTTCTGATTCTGGAGTCCTAGTATTTTCCTGTTGATATACTTAAGTCACATTATAAAACAATGATCCAAAGTACTTTAAATTATGTGTTTAATCCAACCAGTAAATGTTTATTTTGGTTTACAGTACACGGTGATACACAAAGGCAAAAGTAACATATGTACAGGACACTTCTACTATGACAGACAGAGAGAGGTGGTTGCATGCAGGCTGCATATATCCATTAAAGTCCAGGTCAGGTCAGTAACCAACAGGCAATGTGGTGGTGGTGTTGTTGTTGTGACAAACAGCAAGTGGTGTTGTTGAAAGGGACTGGTATGGAAGTCCGTAATACACTGGCATCACCACCACAACGGTAGGTCCTCATATCTATCAGGAGAAACAAGCAAAGTGTTCATTTATGTTGGACCATTATTATGTTGGTCCATTGACTACTAACTCTAGCTAGCTATAGTCAGGGATGAGTGTATTGCTGTGTCTGTTGTTCTTAATATAGCCTATAGGGTATAGTGCATAAAAAAAAAGAGGTATTATGAAACTGCTTAAACAAAAATAATGGATTAGAGCTAGGCTACTAATCCCCACCCCCAAAAAGAAGATAGCTAAAGCTGACCATACTGAGGAGAGATATATCGGTATCCTTGGAATGTTTTTACACCCACTTTCCATAGCTTGCTCGTGGGATGCTCTCTGTGCTCTCCCTCTGTAGCAGGTCAGAGAACACTGTATCAGGGCTGGATCTTTTCCCATACCTGAGAGAGCGGGGTAAAGATATATATTTTTATTGCAACCGTTTATTTCATTCAAAGTTAAACCTTATGAAATACAGATAATTTGTGAAAGGTGAGTAACAAAAGAGAAACATTATCAGAACCACTTTGGAAATAAGTGTTTTTCAAATGTTATCTTCTGGGATCAAATGCACATCTTGTGTAATGTATTAATTTAATTGTTTACCCAAAATAATAATCGTCATCATATGCTGTACCTTCCCATCACCAAAAGAAGAACTCACCGCTGTCGAGTGATTTGGTTGATGTAGTGTCTGAGTGCAGAGTAATACTTGGCGAGGTCCTCGGTAGGCGCACCTTCTTCTGGACTGGCGGGTTTGGATGGATAAGCGTCCACCAGAGTTGACATGCATACCAGCGAGCACACCGCCAGCATACCCAGAGACATTGCTGCGTTAGGGCGCATCTAAAGCACACAAAGGCACAGAGAAACAAACAACAAAACAAATTAATGCACTGTCACTTTGCTCCTGTCCTTAGTTCACATTGTAGCCAATCATTTTTATTTGCCACTGTAAAGTAATCACTTATAAATGAACTGTAATTAACCATAAATCCAACAACACCTTGTTATCCGAAACAATATTCCATCATCTTTAATAACCAACTCTGAAAACATATTAACCAACTCTGAAAATATGAATGTGCAAAAAAACGTTTTCCATTTAGACAAATATTCTCTTTATTAATTCAAATCAAGAGCAACTTCACCAAACCTTGAAGTCTATACAAAAGGCAAATAATCAGCGACAGAAAAGTGTTTTTACTCACTTTATTTTGTGAAGACTGGAGATGGTTTCGTTGAATGACTGACTGTTCTGTGCTCGCAACGGTCTTTTGCAGCAAGCATCTTGTGAGTTTTATATCTGTGGCATGGAGCGCATTTGGAGGAGGGGAGGATGCCCAAAGAACGCATAAGTAATTTTCACCTCAGACTGCAAGGAAAAGTGTTTAAGGATGGGCAATAGAACTCTTTGACAAATGTTAAACCAGAATGTATACCCCTACTTCAATTAGTCATCAGTGTTTGAACAATGCTGATTTCATGTTGAGATTTAAAAAGTAACGAAACATGTCATTGTCATCTACACATCACTCTAAATGTCTAATCAAATGTATGGATGGACATCTGAATATGTTGGACACGGAATAAATACTGTCAACTGTAGTCTGAGAGAGTATAATCCTTATTGAAGATAAGTAACCTTGTTAAGAGTGTAGTATCTGAGGAATTTATGACTTTGTTAATGTTTGCAAATGGTAGCTTAGATAATGTTGATTTGGATCAGGGAGATATCTGGAGAGCAGTTCTATAGGAGTACCCTAAAGCAGAGGAAGTCTGTTAGGTGACCTCCTGGGATTGGTCTGTAGGGGAAACACCCATATCAGATTACATAGGATATATACTATGGTTTGGGACAAAGGACGGTGAGAATAGCATATTTAGAATTTGGGTCGGCTGTTCTCCGGGTGTCTGCAGACATCCATAAATTGAAGCTGTAACCCTTTGATATAAATAAACCTTTATGATCAAAGTACAGCGTCAGCGGATTTCCTTGTTCTCACAGCATAATTAGCAACGTTTTCTCGACACAACAAAATGGCGATGAGGATTTGAACGTTTTTTCTCAGCGTTCCATTCATGGGCGCCGAGCTGATTCTAGCTCCAGAGTCCGGCAGATAAGGGTGAGTTTTCTCACCACTTTGGGCTCTGGTTAGTTCGTGTGTCTGTGTGTGCGCGTTGAATGAATGCACCGTTAAGAACTTGCGTGTGTGCTTTGCTGATTTGCTGTGGGATAGGAGTCCGTTCTAAATGTGTTTGCGCTGGTGAACAACGCAAAAAGGGGGGAGTGTCTATAGGGATATTTTGCTTGAATAAAATTCAAGAAGAATGGATTGGGAATAAGGCCAGGAACTAGGGTAAATGTGTACAAATTAGAACCATTGCGAATCTATGGAAAGCCCTCTTAAGGTGAGTCCAGGGGACTTGAGGCTGTGGTATATATACAGTGGGGAAAATAAGTATTTAGTCAGCCACCAATTGTGCAAGTTCCCCCACTTAAAAAGATGAGAGAGGCCTGTAATTTTCATCATAGGTACACGTCAACTATGACAGACAAAATGAGAAAAAATTATTCAGAAAATCACATTGTAGGATTTTTTATGAATTTATTTGCAAATTATGGTGGAAAATAAGTATTTGGTCAATAACAAAAGTTTCTCAATACTTTGTTATATACTCTTTGTTGGCAATGACACAGGTCAAACGTTTTCTGTAAGTCTTCACAAGGTTTTCACACACTGTTGCTGGTATTTTGGCCCATTCCTCCATGCAGATCTCCTCTAGAGCAGTGATGTTTTGGGGCTGTCGCTGGGCAACACGGACTTTCAACTCCCTCCAAAGATTTTCTATGGGGTTGAGATCTGGAGACTGGCTAGGCCACTCCAGGACCTTGAAATGCTTCTTACGAAGCCACTCCTTCGTTGCCCGGGCGGTGTGTTTGGGATCATTGTCATGCTGAAAGACCCAGCCACGTTTCATCTTCAATGCCCTTGCTGATGGAAGGAGGTTTTCACTCAAAATCTCACGATACATGGTCCCATTCATTCTTTCCTTTACACGGATCAGTCGTCCTGGTCCATTTGCAGAAAAACAGCCCCAAAGCATGATGTTTCCACCCCAATGCTTCACAGTAGGTATGGTGTTCTTTGGATGCAACTCAGCATTCTTTGTCCTCCAAACACGACGAGTTGAGTTTTTACCAAAAAGTTCTATTTTGGTTTCATATGACATTCTCCCAATCCTCTTCTGGATCATCCAAATGCACTCGAGCAAACTTCAGACGGGCCTGGACATGTACTGGCTTAAGCAGGGGGACACGTCTGGCACTGCAGGATTTTAGTCCCTGGCGGCGTAGTGTGTTACTAATGGTAGGCTTTGTTACTTTGGTCCCAGCTCTCTGCAGGTCATTCACTAGGTCCCCCCGTGTGGTTCGGGATTTTTGCTCACCGTTCTTGTGATCATTTTGACCCCACGGGGTGAGATCTTGCGTGGAGCCCCAGATCGTGGGAGATTATCAGTGGTCTTGTATGTCTTCCATTTCCTAATAATTGCTCCCACAGTTGATTTCTTCAAACCAAGCTGCTTACCTATTGCAGATTCAGTCTTCCCAGCCTGGTGCAGGTCTACAATTTTGTTTCTGGTGTCCTTTGACAGCTCTTTGGTCTTGGCCATAGTGGAGTTTGGAGTGTGACTGTTTGAGGTTGTGGACAGGTGTCTTTTATACTGATAACAAGTTCAAACAGGTGCCATTAATACAGGTAACGAGTGGAGTACAGAGGAGCCTCTTAAAGAAGAAGTTACAGGTCTGTGAGAGCCAGAAATCTTGCTTGTTTGTCGGTGACCAAATACTTATTTTCCACCATAATTTGCAAATAAATTCATTAAAAATCCTACAATGTGATTTTCTGGATTTTTTTTCCTTAATTTGTCTGTCATAGTTGACGTGTACCTATGATGAAAATTACAGGCCTCTCTCATCTTTTTAAGTGGGAGAACTTGCACAATTGGTGGCTGACTAAATACTTTTTTTCCCCACTGTATATATATATATATATATATATATATATATATATATATATATATATATATATATATATATTCGGTTGCAAGTTACCTCTCAACACTTGGTTGACGAATTATATGATTGATGTGACCGCTCATTGAATTTCCGCGGAACTCGTGGCAGCCTAAATTTAGGAACAAAGGAATTTTACGGCGCAATGGAGGTAACATGCTACATGCTGCATGCTACCTTAGGGGTCCATAGGAATGGATTAAGCCTCTTAAACTGTGTGTAGAATAGAGTAGGATTTGTGTCCTATGGTTTGTGAGCTCTGTTAAGTGTTATTGTTTGTCTATGAGGGGTAAAAGAGAGGAAGTACAGCGGGACTGTTAACTTTCTGTTGTCTAGCTTGGAGAGAGCTGGGAGAGAGCTCCATCCACTCTGAAATCGTATTGGTGAATGTACTACGCATGCGCGTGATTTTATGACTCTAGAGTTACGTAGGGCTAAATATGCCACTCCCATACACTGTGCTGCGGGGAGACGCAGACAAAGAGAGAGAAGATTTAGAGACTAATAGTGTATTCTGGTTGTTAAATCGGCTGTTGTTTAACGATGAAATTATTTGATTGAGACCCATTGAATTGATAAACTAGAGATATGTTGACGGATTAAAAATAATTAAATAAATAAAATAAAATGTTATTGAGCTATTTAACTATTCCTGAGTTAGGTTTGCTTATTTCTTAGAGCGAATGTGACTGGAGGAATATTGAATGGTTGAAATAACTCAGTGTGTGCATAAAATACTAAATTCTTGTCTGTCCTTTGTTATTCTGTCATATGAGACGATAAGAAGGAGGAGAGAGAGACAGAGAGAGAGAGAGGAATTGCTGACGTGTACATCACGCGACAGGGTGTGCTGCGACAGAGTCTGCTGCAACGGATCCAGTCAAACTAAGGCCAGTACTGTTCTATTTACAAAACGTACCTTCCCATACAGGATATTTTGTGTGCCTAGCATATTTGATGTTATGACAATTTGACAGGGACTTGGCAACAGACTGATCAATTGATGTAATTGCATATTGGAGTTTTTGTGCATGAGTGGGTTTGATTAGAGTTGTGTTGGGAATCGAGTACTGACATTATTCTGTAAAATTAAGGTCATTGGGTGCTTATTAAGCAAGGGATTTGTGAGTGCTGTAGTGTTGCTGGATTATAGGTCTTTCTTTTTTGGATTGCTCTGAAGTTGACTACTTTCATTTACTTTCCTGATTGGATGTGGTAAGATTGCCACTAATCAATAATTTGGTAAAATAAAATAAAATGAATAAATAAGTACATTTATGAATACATTAATTAATTAATTTAGGGAGAAAAAAAAATAAAAGGGAGGGACCCATAAGCTATATAGTCTAAAATAATAAAATAATTCACAATAAAGGAATATAAAATAGTTGTTACAATGGGGAAAAAGGACATCAAAACTATGAAAGGAATTACTCCTGTTGATATAGTACAAAATAGTAATCCTCTAGTTAATGGTATTGCAAGGTTATCTGGAAAAGGGAATAAAAGTTGGCCTGACATTGAACAACCATGGCCAGTGGAAGGGACTCTTAACCCTGACGTCATCAACATAATGAAAGTGCTTCTGTCAATTCATAAAGCAGATCAAAAGAAAGGGAAAAAAAGGGAACAACGTAAAGAAAAGAGACAAAGAGAGCAGGGTGTTCTTAAGCTGTTTGAAAATGAAGGACAAAAACTGATGAAAGATACCAACGATAAAAGAAACAAAGATATAGAGAAAATTGTAAAAGCAGTGAAGGTGACAGAA